AAAAAAAATACAGGAGCTGAGGAACATGATGGAATCCCAACATAGGAAAAAAATGGAATCCATAAAACAGATGCAAACAGATGTCAGGGAGATTAAAAACTCCATTGAAAGTTTACTCAGCAGAATGAGCCAATGTGAGGACAGAATTTCAGATATAGAAGATGAGATTGCCATTACTGCCAGAAAAGAAAAATTTCTTTAAAGTAGTAAGGGACCACAAGAAATCAATCCAGCAGCTGCTAGATGATGCAAAGAAGAATAACATAAGACTGATTAGAGTCAATGAAGAAACAGGAGAGAGTACAGACCACACAAAAAAACTGCTCACAGAAGGGATGGCAGAAAACTTCCCAAGCAGGGGGAAAGAACTTGACATACAGATAAGTGAGGCATATAGGACTCCATTTAGCTTTGATCAAAAAAATCTACACATATGCATATAATAGTTAAGATTCCAGAAACTCAACAGAAGAACGAAATTCTACAAGTAGTTAGATAAAAGAAACAAATCACATACAAAAGAAAGCACATCAGAATCACAGCAGACTTCTCAATGCAAACCCTCAGGGCAAGAAGAGCTTGGACTGATGTATTTCAGCCCTAAAGGAAAACAACCTCCAAGCCAGATTGATGTATCCTGCAAAACTATCTTTCAAAATTGATGGAGAAATAAGATACTTTCATGACAAAGAGTACCTTAGGAACTTCATGAATACCAAACCAGCACTCCAAAAAATTTTGCACAATATCCTAGCAAAAGACAATGAGGATCACAACCCCAGAGCCCAGCAGAATGAATCAATCAGGCACAACAAGAAATAAAACCAAAAGAGGGAGAATCCAACAAGAAGAAAAAGTCATGAAAATGATAAGTTAATACATATCACTTATAACCATCAATGTTAATGGTCTCAATTCACCAATCAAAAGAAATAGACTGGCAGAATGGGTCAAGAAGCAAGATCCAACACTATGCTGCATACAAGAAAACACACTTAGTTCAAAAAGAAACTCATAGACTGAAAGTGAAAAGGTGGAAAAAAAAATACTCCATGCAAGGGGAGCCCGAAAAAAAGCAATAGTAGCCATGGTCTTTGCAGATCAAGTGGATTTCAAATGAACACTGATTAAGAGAGACAACGAAGGACACTATGTCCTTGTAAAGGGAACAATCCAAGAGGAAGAGATGACAATCATAAATATATATGCACCAAACACTAGTGCACCCAACTATATAAAACAAATACTAATGGACATGAAAAATCAAATAAGCACTAATGCAACAGTAGTGGGGGAGCACAATACCACACTGTCACAAAGAGATAGATCAACTAGACAGAAAACAACCAATGAAATACTAGAACTCAATTAAACTCTTGAACAAATGAACTTAACATATGTTTACAGAATATTCCACCCCACAGAATGAAAATACACATTATTTTCAGCTACACATGGTTTGTTCTCCAAAATAGACCATATACTCACTCATAGAACATGTTTAAGTAAGTGCAAAGGAATTGAAGTTATCCCCTGTATATCATCAGACCACAGTGCAATGAAATTGGAGACCAATAGCAAAAGAAACCACAAGAAATTCATAAACACATGGAAATTGAACAACACACTTCTGAATAACCAATGGGTCACAGAGGAAAATAAGAAGAAATCAGACAGCTCCTACAATTAAATGACAATGCCAATAAAAGATATCAGAATCTATGGGACACAATGAAAGCAGTCTTAAGAGGGAAATTCATAGCAGTGAATACCCAAATTAGGAAAACAGAGCAAGCCCAATTAAACAAGTTGATGCTGAACCTCAAGCTTCTAGAAAAAGAAGAGCAGGACAAACCCACAGCCCATACAAGGGAGGAAATTATAAAGATCAGAGCAGAAATCAATGCAATGGAGACTAAGAGAATGATACAAAATATTAATGAAGCCAACAGTTGGTTCTTTGAAAGAATCAACAAAATTGACAAACCCTTAGCCAATCTTATCAGAAAAAGGAAAGAAGAGGCCCAAATCCATGCAATTAGGAATGAAAAGGATGAAATTACAACAGACCCAGCAAAAATCCAGAGGATCATCAATACCTACTTCCAAAACCTATACGCCAATAGGATGGAAAACACAGAAGAAATGGACAGATTCCTAGATATGTATGAATTAACAAAGCTCAACCAAGAAGACCTAAATATTCTAAACAACCCAATATCAACCAATGAAATTGAAAATGTAATTAAAAACTTATCAACTAAGAAAATCCTGGGCCCTGATGGCTTCACCATTAAATTCTAGAAGACATTTAGAGAGGAACTACTGCCACTATTGTTTAAACTCTTCA